CCTGTTTATTTTTCTTTTTTAATGGCAACATGGATGAGTGTAAACAGAGAAACAGAGAATATTCCACCCCACAAGCTATAGGCTTTGCTCTTCAGAATGAAAATGTTTAATTAAGAAGTTCAGGGAGAGTAGAGTTAGAGGGGATAGCGTGGATGTCTGAGAGAGAGAGAGAGAGATAGAGAGAGAGAGAGAGAAAGAGAGAGAGAAAGAGAGAGAGAGAGACTCCTGCAGGTTTGAGCTTGTTAAGGCTGTGCTCGTTACTGTGATCAAACACCACCACCCTCCCCCCAGCCGGCCTAAACGCTGCGCTTATTAAAGCACCCTGCAGGGGGGGTGTTAACACAGGAACCACACTGAGCCCACAGGGGCCGCATTAACATTTACTGCTCAGATGGAACCATCCGCAGGCGAGCAATAACCACGCACCCAATCAGGTCATCAGGAGAAGGAGGAGCTACGTGTTCTCCAATTAAAAACAAGTAAAGAGACCTACCATTACTGCAGTCCCCTTTTGCCCCATTTTCCCCCTCATACAGCGAAAAAACGAAATACTAAAGAGGGAAGATTTTACATGTTTAGACTGGAAAATAAAATGTACATGATTCCCTTTCCACTAAAACTCTGTGGCACTGTACATTACTGGTATTAACATCCATCTCGAGGGATCAGATCACAAGTGGACAGCTGTTACTGGCTCGAGTGGGTCAGATTCTGTGACTGGATGAAGGCTACTGTGCGCATTTACTACAAACACAACTAACAACTGCCCATCCTGTGCGGTCTGATGTTGTTGCTCATCTGCCATGATTGGGTGCCCACTGCTCACCCTCTTTCTGGACCAGTTTGACCACCACGGAGCTTCCTCCTGTCCAATTTTGTGCAGAAAGCCTCACCTGTATGTCACTCACCCACCTGATGATTCTGCTGCTGCGCAGACTCAAACTATTTAATCACAGACGTTGTTCCACCTGCCTCACAAAACACTGAGCTCCTCTCACATTCATACTAACAGATCATCATGATGGGCCTCTCACAGTCACTGATCATGGATTTAACCCTCGTTTTCATTGTTAAGCTCTAGTAGTCACTGGATTTCACTGCTAACAGTGACTGATTTTCACAGATCTGTTTCTCATTGTTATTCTGATAGGCCTCTGACAGTAGTCATCAATTATCACTGGTTTACCTATATGCTTCTGTCAAATGAAAGGCTGGTTTCTTTCTTTCTTTTTCTCTATATTTAATATTGTATATTAGTTGTAAAATCTTATCCTCTGTTCATTTTGCTCTTGTTGTGTTGTTGTTTTGACCAGAGGAGGATGGGTTCCCTTTTCGAGTCGTGGTTCCTCAAAGTTTCTCCTCTTGCTCTTACGGAGGTTTTATTGCCACTGTTGTTACTGGCGACACTCATGGGGGCTTGGACTTCCTGTAAAGCTCCTTTGTGACAACGCCTGTGGTAAAAAGCTCTTTATAAATGCATTTTGACTTGACTTGACTACATTGGTCTGTAACTGCGTTGAGAAAAATCCCTCAATTTCATAATCATATAGAAAAGTTTGAACACATCCTGTTAAATGAAGTTTTGTTGATTTTCTTGGTAAAGAGAGGCACATTATCTACTTAAATATCCTAATTTTTAGCGCTAAATTTCTATTTATTTGCAAGTTTAACATAAAAAAAATAAAATAGAAAAAGGGCCCAAACTTTGCACAGGCCACATTTTATGTTTTATTCTTCCAATATGTTAAATTCAGCAAATAAACAAAATCTGTGCATTAAAATCTTTGTAATTTCACTAGAAACATCCAATCTTTTGCATACGACTGTGCGCTCATGCACATGAATGGGCTTTCATATACATTTAGACCTCATGGACTGCTAAGGAGTCAAACAGACGACACCTTTCTAAAGGTGAACATGCTCCAGAACGCACTTCCTAGCGCACGGATTAGCACATTTTTATTGACAAGTAGGTAAACACGAGACACTGATTTGACAGAACACGAAATACCGAGACCAAAAATAAACATCTAGAAACTGACAAATACACTAAATATAAACTCTTTTTCATGGCCAGATTGTGGTGCATTGTGAGGAGTGTTTTTCGGTTGCGCTGACAACAATGAAAAGAAGCAAAACAAAGAAACAATGCCGCTCTATTCATCTCTGCTGTGATGACGCAGTTGATTAAGGCAGCAGTTTGATGCTGTTGGGGACGCATCAGGACACTTTAACATTCACCAACACAACTGTTGCATCTTCGACAACCTCCGAAGGCGGCTTTAAAGTGGTCACAATGTGTACAGGACCCCGTTCAAACCTGTACACAACACTTATGGTCGGATCACCCAAGACGTACACTATATGGCCAAAGACACTCATTCTAATCAGTGAATTCAGCTACTTTAAGGTGCACCAAGTGCTGAAGCAAGAGTTTAACTGTGCATGCACAGCTTGCATAATCTCCATAGGACAGTACTGACCAGCAGAATGGAGCAGCCATAAATGAGCCTATGGTCACCTTGCTCAATGCCAAGCGTCAGCTAGAGGGGTATAAAACACTGAAATGGTGTTCTCTGGAGTGATGGAGCTCCACCCAGTACCTTTGTGATGAGTTGGAGTGATCTAGAACTGATCATCCAACATCAGTACCTGACCACACTAATGCTCAATCAAATCCTCACAGCAATGTTCCACCATCTAGTGTAAAGCCTTCCCAAAAGAGTTGAGGCTGTTACGGCAGCAAAGGAGGAACGAACCCCCTATTAACACCACCTTAGGTGCAGGTGTCTACAAACTTTTGTATTTTAATGTCAGGCGTAAACTTTTAAAAGTTCAAGGCCGCTTTCTTACCTGTTCAGTGCGGACCAATCAAACTGCTTCCTTAGTTCAGTTTATTCTGACAGGTGTAAACACTCCAGCAGTATTTAGATCCACACCAAACACTTGAACCATGGTCCGCCAAAGATTGTGCTTCCAACTGACCCCAGGTTCAGTTCGCTGCTGGTGGGAGTGCGTTTTTATGAGGTCCACACCAAATTACAGATGTTCACATCATTCCTGCAGCACGAGCTGCTGTTAATACTGACGAGCAATTAAATAATTTATTTCTGGACAAACATCGATATAGAATTCAAACTGGCAAACCAATCAATCATAAAGCAGCAGAGACTAAGCATTCTTTATGATTATTGCTTTAACTGTTCCACACACAGATGTTAAGTGTCTCAATTTGTTTTTAGCTTCATGATGGCAAATGTGAGAGTAACAGTGCTTGTATACCTGCAAAATGTCTGACCAATAAAAACCTACACTCTCAGAAATAAAGGTACTAAACTGTCACTGGGGCAGTGCCCCTCTTGTCTCTGGGGTGGAACCCTCAAGGGTCCATCTCAGTACCTTTAGTCAGGGAACATAACTGTACTATAATCCACTGTAAATATATTTCTAAGCTGTACTGACTCCACACACCCCGTCTCGTCTCCAGGCTTTTATTTTACTGTTCTGTTTTAAATCATTCGGTTATTAAAAGGTACAAATACAAACTTTTCACCTGGACAAACTTATTAAAGGTTCACAATTGGACCTTAAAACCACTGTTGGACCTTTAAGGTACATTTACATGTTTGTACCTGTATCTGACAGAACCTTTATTTCTAACAGTGTACATGTACAATTTGGTATGCTTTAGCCACTGCAGTGTAAAACCAACCAAATCGAAGGTGTGAAAACAGCTTAAATATTTGCTGACAAGAAAAAAAAGCTAAAGCACTTCTGATGATGTCCACTGTTCAACTCTCGTCTGCAGGATTCATATTTAATCTGGGTCTAAAGCCAATTACACCCGGTGCCATTACAAAACAGCTAAAGGTCTCGAGCAGAATGAGTGTGAATGCCCCTCAGCTCTGGACTATCACACACAGGATAGGAGGGGTCAGGCACACTCTCCGGGTCAGGATTCTGGCTCCGGTATTGAGCTGGGATATGCAGCTCCAGAAGGTTAATTGGACTTTAATAAGAGATCTGCGAGAGCACAACTCATTTCCCCAGCGGAACTGCCTGTTTCAACCGGCCCTAATTATCTATTCCAGGAGTCAACAGAAGAATCTATCCTCCCTCCACTGTGTCTGTGTCTGTGTCTCTCTCTCTCTCTCTCTCTCTCTCTCTCTCTCTCTCTCTCTCTCGGGCCCTATTTATAGCTCTAGCTTGGAGGTTCCTAAATGGTTCTTGACTTGGACGTACATTTCAGGGAAACCTTTAAATTGGTAGAGAACCTTTGGTACAGAACATTATGTGACACTTCTTAAAACTTTTAAAGGTTTTTCACCTCATTCATCTCATTAATAAAAGAGCCTTAGTGAACCATCGTGTAGTGGGTAACTCCACTGACCTCTATGCAGCAGACTAGGGTTCAAATCATTGCTCAGACAAAAGCACCACGCTATACCAATAAAAGTCCCTGGACAAGGTTAGGGAACCTGAGCTGACAGTACGTGTCTGAAGTGCCCTTGAGCAAGGTACCTAACCCCCACCTGCTCCCCAGGTGCTGCGGATAGGGCTGCCCACTGCTCCGGGCAAGTGTGCTCACTGCCCCCTAATATGTGTGCATTCACTAGTGTGTATGTGGTGTTTCACTGCACGAATTGGTCAAGATGCGGAGGTGAAATCTCCCCGTTGTGGGACTAATAAGGGTCACTCAACTAACTTGATTACTGTCTTCTTTCCTGTAACTGTAAAAGAATTTACAGTTACTTTTTTTTCTTTTAATCCTGCTTACGTAACGCTGTTACATGTTTTCTGTTACTACCCACATTTGGTGATTTTATGAGATATAACGGCACGGGTAGAACGCTTCTTAACCAATCAGGGAGGTGTTCTCCAAAAGCATCTTAGGACAAATATACTTTAAGGAAACAGGGCCCAGATTCTGTGGTCAGAACTAACTGTGGTATGAACAGAATGACAGCATACTGGCAGTTAACGCATGAAGAAACAGTTACCTCAGTTAGAACAGGTCTGCAGTATCCGGCCCCGAACATCAGGTTCTCCACAGACATCACAGAGGGCGCAGCCTCGCTCTCCGGAGAGCCCTTCCCCAGCCACGCCCCTTTACCACTGCGTGCAAAACTGCAGGAAGAGAGGAGAGAGATGCAAACTGAGAGAAAAAAACGACCATCACCCTCTCGAGGCTGATCAATGCTCTTGTCCCTAATCAGTTAAATGGCTGTCGGAGCTGTTAGTCGACAGTATTGGCACAGAGATTCATCAGGCCAGTGCACAGAAAACCATTTATTAGGGCTACGTGTGCTCAAAGTGATTCCTTTTAGGCAAAAAAAGACATTATGAGGGGAACGTGTAAGAGCGCTCAAGCGTTTTGCTGAAATGCAGCCAAAATACCATTGTCTGATTGGTATGAAACACCAGTAGGCCAATTTGTTTTAGAATGTCTTCCCTAATGGAGACATCCACTGGCCTGCCAGCTCTAATTCCAGCCACTCAAAAAGCAACTGTCAAGTTAAAAGGTATCTGTAAGCTCTCAACAGACATTTATAAGCATCACAAGTACTCCTTCCTTTAAAAATGCTGATCTGCACATGCTGTGTGTCAGCACTTTAAAGCAGCATGTAACACAAAGGCATTACGATGCAGACATCTGCATGTTCCCTAGTAAGCTAGTTTAAATACCTAACTATGGCCAGATGAATGTTACTGTTGTTGTTTTATTTGTACGACAAAGTAGGTTGAGCAGAAATGTGGGTAAAGTCTCCTAATAAGCCTATTTGAGGGAGACAGTGTCAGAAAAAACTCTATAACAGCATGAGGAAGAACCACTGAGAGGAACCAAGACTCAAAAAGGCTGCACTGATTGGGCAAAATTCCATTCCACAGATGAGCATTTCCTACGGAAATTAACTGTTTATCAGTAGAGATGCACCGATACCACTTTTTCCCTTCCGATACAGATACCTGATCCTTTAGTATCGGCCGATACTGAGTACCGATGCTAACTCTATCTAACCTAACTCAGCTATAATTCCTGATATTTATACAGTTACATTTTTAAAATACTATATTTTGGTAAAATCTGTTTTCTGCATCACAAATAAAACACACTCAACTTGGCTAGATGGCATTTACATGGTGGATTATATTTATTAGATGTTTCAGAAAACATATATTTGTTTATTTACTGTATATATTTAGCATCTACTATTATATAATTAGAAAAAAGAACCATGGTTAACAACTTAAGTAAATCTAAAATATCTTTATTGTGTAAAAACAGTGAAAAACAGAGCTGAACCGTATACAGATAAACCTGTGGTGTCTACTGCTGCACTTGTTTCTATGGGATGTTTGAACATTCAACATCATATTCAATACAACATTTAAAAATAAAAATATTTGATATGTGCAGCCCTACATCAGACAGAGTGCAGCTAGCTAATCTGTGGTTGGTACAGGCATTAATTAGCCCTGAGTGCTCTGTGACTGGTTGGCAGAAGGAAGGGCGGAGTTTACCTGATGAGCGGTTGGTGCAGGGCCACTAAGGAGGCATGGACAGTGATGGAGATGACGGACAGGTGGAAGTAGTCAAACATGACAGGAAGGTGATGGTGCAGGCCGTTCTGAGGGTGGAAATGAAGACCCAGCGTCCGACTGCTGATGACAGGCACTGAGGAGATATCAGCCAACCTGGAACACACACAGCAGACACCTGTAAGAGGGCCTTCTTTCTGTACATGTACAGGAAATCTATGACTGAACACTGCACAGTACACATATATTTGCTCTGTAAACTTTCTTTCTGTTTGATTCTTTGAATATTAAACCCCCTAATTTAAAAAAGACCATTTAAAAAATCAATCCTAAATGAGACAAGCACCCTTTGCTTATTTAATTTCCAGTCAAAACAGCCATTAAGTACAAGATATAGTACAATGATACTGATTTTTCAGGAGACGTTTCTGAGGAGATTAGATATAAGATAATCCACTTGCATGACGAAGTTAAAGAAAAATGAACAAAAAAGGAGATTGACAGAAAAACAAATACCCAAGACCTGACATATATATATATATATACACATTAAAAATAGCTTTTAAACCACAGCACTTGATATTTGATTACTGATTTGTTTACAGGACTCTCATATTATTATTTATCTGCAGCCAAATTGGTTTTATATTATTGAAAACAGTGATTCTATCTTTTTAACGATAGATAGTTTTAACGAAAATTAGCTTTATATTATTCTATTTTGCTTAAGGATGTACAATGATAAAGATCACACCAGTACAGCAGATTTTAGCTTTAAGAAAAATATCTGTATTGTATGTTTAGATTTGATTGGCATTTTAAAGAGATATTTGATGACATTTACTGTACTTTAGAAAAGCAGGTTGTTTAGGTGATGCTAGGCTGCTGCGCTAAAACCCTCTATTGATAAATGTTATATTTTTCTGTAATGCTAATCCAGGTGGATGTATTTCCAGTTTCTACATTTTATAAATGTTTATGTATCGGCATTAGCATCAGCATAGAAAAATACTGGATCTTAGCCCACAATTCCCATCTCAGTGCATCCCTAATTGTTTACTATAATACTTCCAAAATATAACTTTCAAAGGAAAATAAGACTATAATAAGCTATGTCTAGTATAATTATGTTTCTTATCCCATTTGGGGAGGAGGTAGAAAAGGGCTGTGGTAACTTTCTAGTGGGCCAAATCTAATGTTCTCACACATCAGCTTTTGGCCTGTGGGCCACACTCTGGGCAGCGCTGGTACAGACTGTGCGATAGTTTAATCACCCTCATTTGGAGCTTGTTTGGGAATTAGCATGTGTAGAGCTTTGGGAATAGTTTGGAATGAGCTGTTGCTGTAATTGGTCCACTTTCACTCCGGTTAGAGGACTGGGAATGGAAGCTTGTGTGTGTGTGAGGGAATGTGCTGTGACTGTAAACTAGCACTGTTGATCTGGGGCTGTGAGTGATACGGTTCATTAGTGGACATTCACCCTGTCCTCCTGTCCCACTGCCCCCTGGGTCACTACCACCGTACTCCTTGAACACCAAACACCACTCATTACACAGAGAGAGAGAGAGAGAGAGAGAGAGAGAGAGAGGAGGAGAGAGAGACAGGGAGAACACAGAGAGGAAACAACAAATAAAATAAAAATACATTTATACAAAAAACTAATTTAAGAACTGTCTTTTGGTTTTCACCCAAAAAAGTCATGAAAACCTCATGTTGAAAAAAATCAACACAACCTGACAGACGTTTTGTCACCTGACATCAAAGTGGATAAAAGCAGCTTATATGACAGACGTTGCTTATCGCCATAAGCCTTTATAGATGTTTATATGGGTTTGTCACTTGTCGCGTCGACAATGTCATTTCATGATGAAGGCTTATGTATGTCATGTAGATTTACGAACACTGCACTAGAGTAAAATGCAACCCTTTTTAATGCATTTTCAATGCATATGTCCATATTTTGATCATAAAGCTGCACTATGTAAGATTTGTGGATTTGGAGACGTCTCTGGTAGAAATGTGTAACAGCAACACACCATGTGAAAGAACATTTTGTGGACGAATCTGATGATTGTGAGCGCACTGAAAGAGAATCTGACGAGTATCCGACAAAATCTGGTGAAGGCTGTGTCTTCTGAGGATGTGTGTGAGTGTTTAAGATGGCTTAACGAAACCACATTTCTGTTCTTTGTTTTGTTATTATACAATTTTTTTGTGTTATCATTTTCACTGGTGACAGTTTTTGAGCTGGAGCCACAAAACGTAGGATCGTAAGAGCTTATACAGAAACAGGAGACTGGAGAGAGAGAAAGAGAGAATGAGAGAGAGAGAAATAAAATAAAATATAAATAAAATACAAAATACAAATAAAATATAAAGATATATACAATAAAAAATGTAAAACTTTTCGACCAGGCGTGTTTTGAATTTCGGTTTTGGTTTAGGGTAGGAATTTTCATTTTGTTTCTCCACTACTGTAAACTGTAACTGTAATAAATTATTTTTAAACTCTGCTGTACTTTCTTTCTTCCCTCCACCCACCCACTGAAACCCACTGACTGTGATGCATTTAATTTTGAAATCAGAGCTGTCAGACTTGTTTAAAAGACTGCTGTTATAACTACATTAGCATTGAACACTATCAGCACTTTTGTATCTACATTTAGAAGGTTGCAATCTATAACTATCAAATCTGGTAGTCTGAGCATGGAGAAGCTGCAGTGTGAGGTCTGAAGGTTGCAGTGTAAGGTCAGTAAAGGCAGCAGTACATACTGTTGTTCCACATCCGTGAAGTGCAGGTCGAGTCTGAGCTGGAAATCCACTTCACTCAGTGCCTCTTCCACCTGCACAAACAGAAACAAACCAACTGTCAATCAAACTAGTAGCTCTTGGTCAAACTGACCATTGATCTGTCCATGCTCTGCCTACAAATATGTTCTTTTATAGCTACTGTTGTAAAAACGAGCAAAAATTTCCATTTCACAACACATAACTCAGCTTTTATTAAAATAACTGAAAGCAAAATGTAAAGCTTTTCCGAAACAGTAACTATAAAAAAGAACACAATTGTAGGGTGGAGAATGGACAGATCAATTACTGGTTAAACCAGAAACTACCAGTGTAACCAACAAACTTGAAATATCGTTTCTGTAAATGCCAACAGGTCATTAAAGGAATGACCATTTATCTATTCTTCCAATATATAGATTGTAGATACTACATCACCTCTGTAATCAATATTAGCTAATTAACTTTCCAAAAGCAATTATGATGTTAACTGTTAATCAAACATCCGATCGAAAAACAAATGACAGGACAGCTGATGAGAGTTCAAACACTCCACTATTTCTAGTCAGCTTGAAGCTGCAATATGTAGCTTTAAGCTGTTTTTGTTAACACTTTACTGTAAGGTTGACTTTACTGTAAGACCCAATCTACTGCTAGTGTTTGTCTGTGGAGA